CACTGTAGGTTAATGTGCTGGACCACAGGGTCTGCTCACCAGCTGCTCCTCAGAAACCCTATACTGGGTCGCTATGGGTTGGAACTGACTCAACGGCACTTAACAACAAGACCTGTGGTTAGGAGTACAGTGGCTCCATAGGATAAGCACTGAACTATAGAATGAATACTAGCCTATGAACCACAAGGTTGAATGTAAAGTATTCTCCCTTGTAAACTATTACTTGATTCACAATAAAAACTTTAAAAAAAGAAGTTTCAAAGGGAAATGTGGAGAATGAGATGTCCGTACAGTTTTGAAGGATTCCACCATATTCCTGGGAATCTAAAAGGCCATGTCCCTATGAAGGGTTGTGTGCAGCCCCTAACCAGCCCTAATCTCATCTCTGGTTGACCATGAGACTCTCACACAAAGACGAAGGCAAAACTGCCAGCTGCCTGGCTGAGTGTTTAAGACTTGTCCCAACACGTTCACAGAACCCTCAGCAAAGGCTGGGAGATTCACTGGCTCTCAGTTTAAGGAAATCTCTGTCTCATCACAACTGTCCACTAAACTAGCCAAGCGGAAACTTCCATGGTCACACACAACAAAGAATACAGACTTCATAGAATTAGTTCAGGAAATTCATTCAAACAACACAACAAACAGTGAGAAGCTGATTTGTAGAGCTACCACTGTCTAAGGAGCTCTGGTAGCGTAGTGGTTATGAGTCAGGCTGCTAATCTCACGGTCAGCAGTTCGAAACTACCAGCTGTTTCATGGGAGAAAGATGAGGCTTTCTGTTCCTGAAAAGATTTACAGCCTCAGAAACTCTATTTCAGGGTTGCTATGAGTCAGAACCGACTCCATGGCACACCACCAACACCACACTATATCTTTGAAGTGTACAGTTTGGAATAAAAAAATTCTAAGAGAAGTGTGACCCACAGACAGGGGGACTTCCCTGAGGAAGTCCAGAAATTTGACTTACTAGACAAAGACTAAGTCAGCTATTTCAAAATATTTTTAAAGTGAGGGAAACCATGTCTTAGGAATTCAAGGCAAGTGTGAGAATAATGGTATATGAAATAGAGACTATCAATAAGGAAATAGGAATTATAAATTTTAAAAAGAACCAAATAAAAGTTGGTGAGCGTTGACAAGAGCGGTAACTGGAATAAAAAAGTATCCGTGTATGCAGAAGAATCCATGAACTCAATGTAAGTCCACTGAGACTATCCAGTTTGAGGACTGAAAGAAAAACAATGAAGGAAAATGAACAGAGCCTCAGATTCCTGTGGTTGTTGTTGTGAAGTGCCATCGAGTTGATTCCGATCCATAGTGACCCTGTGTAGGTTTCCAAGGAGCAGCTGGTGAGCTTGACCCACCGACCTTGTAGTTCAAACGACTTTGCAGTCTGACACATTAGCCCACAGCGCCACACCAGGATTTCTCAGATTCCGTTTGGACGCCATCAAATGTACCAACGTATGCACACTGGGAATCTCAGAGGGGGAGGTGAGAAAGCGGTAGAAAGATATCTGAAGAAAGAATGATCAAACACTTCCCAAATTGTATGTAAAACATGAATATACACATCCAAAAAGTTCAAAGAACTCCAAGTTGGCATAAGGTCATATGACAGGATATCACAGTACAGCCCAAGGCTACCAGCCTGTAACCTCTGTCCTACTCAAGTTTCCTCCCTTAGCTTCCCAAAGCCTTTATTATCCGATTCCCTACCCCCTAAGGAGCTCTGGTAGCATAATGGTGAGGAATTGGGCTGCAACCGCAAGGTCAGCAATTCAAAAGTACCAGCTGTTCCACGGGAGAAAGATGAGGCGTTCTGCTCCTGTAAAGATTTACAGTCTTGGTAACCCTGTACAGGGTGGCTATGAGTCGGAACCGACTCCACAGCACATAACCACCACCACCTACCAGGCCTGGTATATAGCATTGAGGGATACTGCACTAGACAACAAGGTTGGTTTGAACCACAAGGCTGGAGGTTCAAATTCACCAGGCACTCCTTGGAAACCTTATATGGGACCACTATGAGTCAGCTCAACCTCATGGAACTCTGTAGAAAAAGCACAATCCAAACTCTTGAACATTTCTGCAGTAAATTCTGATATTCCACTCTTCCACATCTTGGTATATGCTAGTCCTTCTACTTGGGGTGTCCTTTCCCTGCACTCCTCCTTCAGACATCATTGCCTCTTCCACAAAGCCTTCCCAGGTTGCCCGTCATCCCCTGCCAACCTCCCCATCCTCAGGGAGCTAGTGTCTTTCTTCCCTAAGCTCCACCCCTGTGCCTCCTAAGCACACTGTACTAAGTGATGTTTAAATGATTACTATTGGTCCTCACCACTGGACCAATAAACAACATTCTTATCAATGGAAAAAAGATTGAAGTTGTCAAGGACTTCATTCTTCTTGGATCAACTATCAACACTCACAGAAGCAGCAGTCAAGAAATCAAATGACGTATTGTATTAGGCAAATCTGCTGCACAAGAACTTTTTAAAGTGTTGAAGAGCAAAGACGTCAGCTTGAAGACTAAGGTGCACCTGACTCAAGTCATGGTATTTTCAATAACCTCATATGCATGCGAAAGCTGGACAGTGAATAAGGAAGACCGTAGAAGAATTGATGCTTTTGAGTTATGGTGTTAGAGGAGAATAGTGAAAGTGCCATGGGCTGCCGAAAGAACCAATAGATCCGTTTTGGAAGATGTACAGCCAGAGTGCTCCTTGGAGACCAGGATGGCCAAGCTTTGTCTCTTATACTTCAGACATATTGTCAGAAGGGACCAGTCGCTGGAGAAGGATATCATGTTTGATAAGGTGGAGGGTCAGAAAAAAAGAGGAAGACCCCCAATGAGATGGATTGGCCAAGTGGCTGCATCGATGGACTCAAGAGTGGCAACAGTAGTGAGGTTGGCCCAGGATCGGGTAAGTGTTTCCTTCTGCTGTGCATAAGGTCGCTATGGGTCAGTACCGACTCAATGGCACCTAACAACAACATTGGTTCTCTGAGACTGAGCTCCCTGAGGACAGAAACTGTCTCTCGTCACCTCTTCACCTCTAGATCCTGGTACCATGCCTTGCTCAAGGAGGATGCTCAGTAAATGTTGAGTTTACTTGAACTTTTTTTTTTTTTTTTCTTTGTCTTTTGAACAGATTTTAGACTTACTTGAAGTACTGCAGCTGGAGGATCTGTTGAGGTGGCAACACAACCTGACTCTCCTGGGCATCTGGAGCGGTTAGCAGTGGAAAATCCCTACCCACACCCCCACTTCCACCTCTGTGCCCAACCCAAGCCCAGGCTGACATGTGGGCTTGATCCAGGCCACTGCAGGGGCTGGATTGCCTGAGAGCCCAGAAGGACACTGGGTAGTCTCCTGGTTAACTCCCGGGTCCCTCCTTACCAATCTGCCCATTGTAGCAGCCTCCCAGGAGGACATGGGAATCCTTGGGGTTGTACTCCAGGGTGATGAGGGGTGAAGATGGCCTCAGGGCAATTTCAGGTTTGTTGGGGTTTTCTAGAAAGAGAGAGAGTGAAGAAAACAACCCTCCCATCATGCCTGGAAAGAAAAGAACAGAGTCGACCAGTTCATCCCCTTCCAAATTTGTACAAAAGGAGGTCAAGGCGAAAGACTGGAATATCATGCCTTCCCTTCAACAAAGCTCTGACCCCCTAGTGACCAGAATCCAGAGTCCTCAGCCCCAGGGTTCTTCTACCGGTTTTATCTGACAAGCAGACTCAATGTGTGTGTGTGTGTGTGTGTGTGTGTGTTGCATTTCTAGCCCATTCCCCAGGTTTGGTGTGAAACAAGTTTTGGCCCCTAAGATATTTACATAAAGTCAACTCTCCACTTGCTTCCCCAGGCTAGGGTCTTCATGTGTATATGGGGATAATATACTGCTGATGCCCACCCCTAGGGATTGCTGTAACACTCAGTGAGCTTCTCTGTGGCAAACACCAACTAATAACAGCTAATGTTGATTTTAATGACAATGATGAAGGCAAGTCTGAGAGTGAAATGTCACCTTCATCTGGTACCTGCTTAGGTACTAGCCTCAGAGTGAGCTCTTCTGTAACAGTGGTATCTGCTTCCAAGGGTACTCTCTGCCCCTGACGGTCATAGTTGAGGAAAAGTGCCAGGAAAGGTGGGAGAAAAAGGGGTCCTCTTGCCCTCTCAGTCTGCTACAGACTCTTTCTGAGATGTTCTTCAAAGACTAAGACAGAGGGTGCTGTAAGTCTGGTCACTGCTGCTCTGATTAAGGATCGGAAGATGAAGGGAGCTTGCTACTTCAAATTTGGCTCGGCTGGGTTGCACCTAAATCCAGACTGGGAGCAGAGGAGACAAGGGGCTTCCTCCTTGGTCCCCGGCCTCTCCTTATCACCCCCTACTCTTGCTGGGGCCTGTCGCTACTCTGAACCTTCCCTGGACAATAGGAGTCCTCACTTCTCACCCATATCCCAGATGTATGAATCGAAGCTCATGCCCATAGGTGCCCGCTGAAAATCCAAGCAAGAATATGCCACAGCTAACTTCCGGTTGCCATCAGGGTGCCAGGACAGGTGCGTAGCTGCCCGCTTGATCTCCTGGGGATCCCTTTAGAGAGAACAACAAGGCCCATGAATCGAAGTACCCTCCTCCTTCCACTGCAACTGAGTGGATTCCTACTCAGTGGTCCTATAGTACAGGGTTTCCAACACGGTAAATCTTTTTTTTTTTTTTTTTGTGAATTGAGTGAAGGTTTATAGACAAGATCATCAGTTTTAAATTCAATAAGCCATACACTTCATTTCATCTCAATGACTGCAATCCCCTCCATGCAACAAGTTACCCACTGCCTCCCTGGGGTTCCTATTTTCCTTCCACCCTCCTTCCCAGCCCTTCTCAACTTGGTCCCTTTTGATTTTGAATGACTGACTGTTCATGGTGGGCACCCCTACTAGTGTTGTCCCTGATATAGACCTTTCTACTGCTTGGCTGAAAAGTGGGCCACGAAGATGGGTTCCCTTTCCAGACCTGAAGGGTGGTTGAGGGCCATAGTCTCAGATTCCTCCAGTCTCTTTCTGACCAGTAAACCCAGTCTTCTTTTGTTTTAATAATTTTGAGTTTTGTTCCACATTTTCTCCCACCCTATCTGGGACTCTCTAATGTGATCCCTTTCAGAATGGTTGGTAGTGACAGCTGGGCATCATCTAGTTCTTCTGAACTGTAAATATTTATGGTAACTGACAGCCTCATCTTATTCCCCCAGAGTGGCCAGTGACTTTGAGCCACCAACCCTGACCAACTTAACCCACAGTATCACCAGGTTTCCTCAAGTACAGTGTGCCCAACCTTCTTTCATTGTTTCATTGTTGTTGTGTTTGTTTATTGTGGTCCAAATATATATAGCAGAACATTTGCCAGTCCACATTTTTTACTTACTAAATATTTTCTTTTTAAAAATTCCAATAGAGTTAAGCAATCACATTTACTCAGAGAAATGTAACTTTAAAAACAAAGCTCATAGTACTTCCAGGAACAGAAAAACACAATCTCTCCAGTCATAAATAAACATGTAATGATGAAATGAAAACATTCAATTCCATGCCAACACTTTCACTTGCTGAATGTTCTGTTGTTATTTACAAAAGGTGAGGGAGGAGGATGAGCAAGAGTTGGGAAAGTGTTCAGATTATTTAAGACTAAATGGTAGCGTAGTGGTTACGAATCGGGCTGCGAACCTTAAGGTCAGCGGTTCGAAACTACCAGCTGCTCCGCGGGAGAAAGATGAGGCTTTCTACTCCCATAAAGATTTACACCCTCGGAAACCCTATACAGGGTCACTATGGGTCGGAACCGACTCGATGGCACATAACAACAACAACAACAACCCCAAGCTGAGACTTTCTCCTTGAAGGGAAGGGATAAAGGACATGGTTCAACACTTAGCCCCTCCCTGGGTGCACTCTGGAGTCCCGGCGTGGTGCTGTGGGTTAATGCGCCAGATTGCAAAGTTGCTTTGAATCATAAGGTCGGCAGTTCAAGCTCACCAGTCACTCCTTGGAAACTCTATAGAGAGTTGCTATGGGTTGGAACCGACTCAACGGCAGTTCACAACAAGGTGCACTATTACAATAGATACAGTGAGACTGGGATTCAGGAGACTTAGTTCCAGCCTTGGTTGACCCCCACCATGTGTCTTTGAGCACCTCCCTTCCCTAGGCTGTTTTTTTGCCTATAAAATGTGGAGCTTAAAGGGGGTGATATCTAATGTTTCACCATGCTTGGATTCCACTGTGCTAACCCATCTTACTGAGGGTCTTCCTCTTTTTGAATGACCCTGTATTTGACTAAACATGACGTCCTTCTCCAGCAATTAATCCCTCCTGATGACACGTCCAAAGTAAGCAAGATAAAGCCTCGCCAACATTCATATAAACAGCAACCAGAGATCACATGACAGATTGCATTGAGTACATCTGCTGCAAAAGACCTCTTTAAAGTGTTAAAAAAGCAAAGATGTCACTTTGAGGTAACAGCATTCGCCTCATATGCATCAGGAAGCTGGACAATGACTAAGGAAGACCAAAGACGAAGAATACTGAAGGGACCACCGGAGGAGTGAGCAAATCCATCTGGAAAGTAGACCATCCAGAATGTTCCGTAGAATCCAGGATGGTGAGACTTCGTCTCATGTACTTTGGACAGGTTATCAGGAGGGACTAGTCCTTTTAGAAGGACTTCATGCTTGGTAATGCAGAGGGTCAGCAAAAAAGAGGAAGACCCCCAGTGAGATGGACTGACACAGTGGCTCCAACAATGGGTTCAAGCACAGCAGCGACTGTGAGGACGGCGCAGGACTGATGGTGTTTCATTCTGTTGTCGTCATCAGCTTGATGGTCCCAACAACACACCTTGCTTCTAAGTACTTCCCCTAGGACTGATTTGTTTGTTTTTCTGGCAGTCCTTGGTATAGTTAATAGTCTTCATAAATACAGCAATTCAATGCATCGATTCTTCCCTAGTCTTCCCTATTCATTGTCCAACTTTCACAAGCATATGAGGCAGTTGAAAACACTATGGCTAGGGTCAGGTGCACCTTAGTCCTCAAAGTGGCATCTTTGCTCTTGAACACTTTAAAGAGGAATTTCGCTGAAGATCTGCTCAATGCAATATGCCCTTTGATCTCTTGATTGAGACTTCCAAGGGCATTGATTCTTGAATCTTAAGTAGAAGGACCTCCTTGACAACTTCAATTAATGTCTTCAGTATTTATCATGATCTTGGGCCCAGGTGTGCTGAATTTCTTGACACTGCATGAATCAACATGCAAATTCTTACAACGCTTTGCAAATTCCTTTCATTTCCCCCTTCCATCCACCAGACCCTCCCTTCCCTGTTTCCCACAAAAGATAAGGACCTCTCCACTGGGCACGTAATGCTCAGTCCCTTATTGATCAGGCTGTGGGCACAGAGAGGATTATACTATGGCTCAGCATAATTGACAAGAAGAGATGACTTTAGGAGTATCTAGCCTCAATAAACACCATTCTTATCAATGGAGAAAAGATTGAAGTTGTCAAGGACTTCATTCTTCTTGGATTAACTATCAATACTCACAGAAGCGGCAGTCAAGAGATCAGACGACGTATTGCACTGGGCAAATCTGCTGCACAGGAACTTTTTAAAGTGTTGAAGAGCAAAGATGTCAGCTTGAGGACTAAGGTGTGCCTGACCCAAGCCATGGTATTTTCAATAACCTCATATGGATGCGAAAGCTGGACAGTGAATAAGGAAGATCGTAGAAGAATTGATGCCTTTGAGTTGTGGTGTTGGAGGAGAATACTAAAAGTGCCATGGACTGCCAAAAGAACCAATAGATCTGTTTTGGAAGAAGTGCAGCCAGAGTGCTCCTTAGAGGCCAAGATGGCCAAACTTCGTCTCTCATACTTTGGACATATTGTCAGGAGGGAACAGTTGCTGGAAAAGGACATCATGTTTGGTAAGATGGAGGGTCAGAGAAAAAGAGGAAGACCCCCAATGAGATGGATTGTCCAGGTGGCAGCATCGATGAACTCAAGTGTGGCAACAATAGTGAGGTTGGCCCAGGATCAGACATTGCTTCGTTCTGCCTTGCATAAGGTCACTATGAGTTGGTGCCGACTTGATGGCACCTAACAACAACAACAGCCTCAAGGGTGACAGAGGTTGGCCACACACCTGCCTGATTACAGAATTACCTGAAAACGTTGATGGTTTTTGCTGACGGAGCCTCATCTGTCACCTCCATGGGGTCCTCGTCATCAAAGTACTCCTCATAGATGTCTATGGCATTGTTTTGCTTGATGCAGTGTTCCATGATCTGAGAGGGGCACATGGAAGATCTTAGTGGTAAAGGGAGGTCCCTCCAGACTGGCTAGGGCTGGGAGAAGCCCAGAAGGGGAAAGTGAAGAAATAGCTCATGGACGTTTCCCATCCTTCCAGCCCATGCGTTCTCAACAGGGTTTATGTTACCCCAAATCGAGTGCCATTGAGTCGGTTCCAACTCATGGTGACCCTGTAGAGGGTTTCCAAGGCTGTAAATCATAATGGGAGCAGAAAGCCTTTTCTTTTCTCCCTCAGAGTGACTAATGGGTTATAATTGCCACAGTTGCAATTAGCCGTCCAGTGCTTCCAGTCCAAGCGGTGAAAACTGGCTCTTGCAGGGCAAAACAATACTCTTCCTTTTATGAGTAAAGAACAGATGTCCACACAGTGTATAAACAAACTCACAGTGTATACCTATGGCATTAAAACATGTTTTAAAGCACTTCTTGAACATCAGCATGCTGTTGTTGTTGTTGTTAGGTGCCAGTGAATCAGTTCCAATTCATGCAACCCCATGTCTTACAGAGGAGAACTGCTCCACAGGGTTTTCTTGGCTGTCATCTTGGAAGAAGCCAGTTGCTACGCCTTTTCTTCTGAAGTCCCGCTGGGTGGGTTCGAACTGCCAACCATGAAGTTAGCAGTTGAGCCCACTGTCTATGACAGCTAGGGACCTTTATGGCATTAGAATTTCTTTGGAGGGTGGCAGAAGAGAGAAAAGGTGATTAGGGAAAAAAAATGTCTGAAAAGTAGCTAGTGATTGTGCCTGGCAATTGAGTCCAAGTTTGTGAAATGAATGAACACTGATCCCTGCTGGCAGGGAGCTGTCGGGTGGGGTTCTTTTGGGGTCTTCTGCCCAAGGAGTTCCCCATGTTTCATATAACTAGCAGTTACCAACCCCATAAGGAGCTCTGGTAGTGTAGTGGTTACGAATCAGGCTGCAAACCGCAAGGTCAGCAGTTCAAAACTACCAGCTGTTTCGTGGGAGAAAGATGAGGCTTTCTGCTCCCGTAAAGATTTACAGCCTCTGAAACCCTGTACAGGGTCGCTATGAGTCGGAACCGACTCCACGGCACATAACAACAACAACAACAACAACCCCATGTGTCAGAGTAGAACTGTACTCCATAGGGTTTTAATAGCTGGCTGACTTTTTGGAAGGAGATCCTCAGGTCTTTTATCTGAAGCACTTAGACTGCTTACACCACCCAGAGACTCTCACTTTTTAGAATTCTTTTACAGCCTGTTTAACTCTCCTGTATTCCCACCTGGCCTCATCTGTCTGTCTGATGTTGTGTCCCCAGACAGATACTCCCTGGGGCCAGCAGCTGGGTCCCTCACTCTGAGAAGGCACATGGACCCAGCATAGGGCTGGACACTTAATGGGACTTGACTCCCACTTGGGGATGGAAGCGAAGGGTGAAACCCAGACAGGTGGAGCGGAAGCTTACCGAGCCAAGCTGCATGATGGCGTTAATGTAGTTCTCATCTTTCTCCACTTTCTTCCGGAAACGGATCGTCTGCTCCAGCTCCAAGGGGTTCACATCCTTGGGCCAACCCCCCTCAATGTGGTTAACCCCTCTGGTCTCCATTTCGAAGCGCTCTGTGTTGGCCTAAACAAGGAGACACAGGTGAGAAGATGTCCACCAGGTATGAGCATCTTAGTTGCCCTTGCAGACCAGGACCCAGGCCTCCAGGTGGCCACTGGGATGACACAGGTACCAGTAGCCCAAACCTCCATGTTTTCAGGTCCTATCAAGGAACTTTCTATTTCCTAGGCCAACAAGAGGTAGTCATAAAACACCACCCTATGGAGTGGGCAGAGTTGCACCTGACGTTGCTGCTGGCCACAGAAAACCCAGTTCTGGCCTGATCTGAGCCTAGTGGGCTGGAGAAGACCAGCCAGCTATTCCATGAGAGTCCAGTGAATAGAAGAAGTGAGTATTCCTTCACCTCCTTGTTTTTATCACAGAAATTGACACCCAATGACAGCGCGGCACTGGAATCATCTGGAAAATGATGGCAGTTGCATGTCACTGAATAATACATGGAAAAAGTGTTTAATTGTCAAATGTCTTGGGATATGTTTATTTTATTTATTTAATGTTTATTTTATAATTATGTGATAGTTTACATCGGAGAACATTAGTTTTACATTCATCCTATAGTTTCATTGCCATGGTTATAATCCCCTGGATATGTTTATTTCTAACCGCAAAAAAAAGAGAAAAAAAAAACAAGAGTTTGGATGCATTTGCCCACCTTGTGATTTTACCCCTTCCTGTTTTTCAGTCAGCTCTAACAAAAGTTAGCTGGCATCCTGACAGAATAGCCCTCCTATCGTGTGACCTTCATGGCGGCCATCTTGCTTTGTTGGCTATACCAAGGACACAGGCGTTCTGGTTCTCCAGGACCCCGATTAGCCCTGGGAAGGCCAGGTCAGTTCAACTGAACAATGACTCATGGCCATAGCCACATCAACCTGACTGCTGGACATCAGTTTCGGCTGACTTGAGTGTGATTTTTCACTCAGTTGATTTGTAGCATGATTCACAGGCTACTTCATTTGATAGAGTCTTCTCTCGGCAGCTCCTGACCTAAGGGGGAGCTGATCACCTGAATCAGACAGACAGGGTGTTACCTGGGCTTCCAAACAGCATGATCATGGCCCTCAGTTCTTTCAACCTGAACATTCTTTCAGGCTGGAATTTTCTAGAAGACACTTTTCTTTTCACAAGTTGTCTCCTAGATTCAAATCCCTGTCCCCTCAGCATAACTCTCCCAGCTGTACCAAATGCCTGACATGACTCCAGTAAGGTGGTACGTCTCTTCCTGAGACAGATCCATCCATCTTTACTAGGGAGTCAGCTAGGACTCCCTCTAGCTGACCTCTAGGTGGATGGGGTCACCCTGCCAACCCAGGGCAGAGACGCACCTCATGTTCCGACATGCTGGCGGAGCACTGGACACCCGTGTCCACGGGATTCCGCTCCACGAACTGTTCCGCCAGCTCTGGGTTGGGCTGGATGTCAATGGTCAGCTCTGCCTGGCGGTCAGAGAAGTTGCATTGTTTCCCAAACTCGCTGCGCTTCTTGAGGTACACATACACGATCTCCATGGTGCTGGCTGCGAGAGCAGAGGGCAGAGGGCAGGTGTGAGAGAGCACCCAACCTGGCTCTCTGGTCTCTCCAGGGGTGTCCCCAGGATCTTGATCTGGTTGGGCACGAGGGGTCTGTTAAGCAGAGAACTGTGTCCTCCAAAAACAACATGGTAAAGTCTAACCCATGGTACCCGTGTTTGGAAATACGTCTTTGAAGATGTTGTCAGCTAACATGAGGTCATAGTGGAGTAGGGGGAAGGGGAATCCTAATTCAATATGAGTGTTGTTGTTGTTAAGTGCCACTGATTCATAGCAACCCTGGTGGGTTTGAACTGCCGACCTTGTACTTAACAGTCCAGTGCTTATCCTATAGCGCTACACCAGGACTCCAATCCAATGTGAGTGGTGTCCTTATAAAAGAGACGCAGATACACACGGGAAGACCAACATGGGACAATGGACTTATGTTGTAGCCACAAACCAAGGGACACCTGGGACTCCCCAAAGCTGGGAGAGCCTTCAGAGAGAACATGGCCTAGCCAATACCCTGAATTTGAACCTCAGACCTCCAGAACTATGAGGCAATATATTTCTGTTCTTAAAAGCAGACCCCAAACTCACTGCCTTCAAGTAGACGTCACCTCATAGTGGCCCTGTAGGACATGGTGGAAGAGTAGAGCTGCCTCATGGGGTCTCCAAGGCTGTCATCTTAGTGGAAACATCTTTCTCCCAAAGGGTAACTGGTGGGTTTGAACCCCCGACCTTTCCTTTCAAAGCTGAGTGCTTAACCCATGGCACCACCAGGACTCAACCAGACCCAGGCTCTCATGAAAAAGTTTGTCCCTCTTTCCAGTGTGTCTAAAACTCTATGCCCTGGTTGGAAGCCATGGCTTTTGGGGGCCAAGAAAGGGGACAAGTACACATCCCAGCAGGTTGCCCTGATGTGTTTATCTCACCTGGACAAAGATGGGGGTCTCATGAAAGAGAAGGCATTTCACTGACAATCTCCCCTCTGTCACCACACTGTCATGACCCAGTACCTGGACCTCCCACTCCGGACTCACAGCTTGGCTCTCCTCCCTTTCAAGTACAATTGTTGGGAACCAGATGACTCCTAGGGGGCTGGAGAGACTTAGGAGAATGAGGGGACTCCAGGAAGACCAAAATAACCCCTTCATCCCTGATTACAGTTGTAACAGTTTTGCCTTCCTTCTTGGTGCTTCCCAAGGCCAAGTCTGGGGGAGAGCAGAGGCAATGTCTGTCTGTCTGGAGGCAGACAGAGGAGACATTTAAAGACCAGTGATGAGGAACCAGGTCATTCAAGGAACCCAGAGTACACTGTCTCCGCAGCTAGTAGGGTGCTGAGATGAATATAATACAGAGATCAGTGTAGTGGAGGGGTCCAAGTAGATGTCTTCTCCATGAGACAAACATCACAGGGTGGTTTCCCCAAGCAGTGCCTGAGGGCTTGCTGTTTGTATAGGGGACCATGAGGGAGGCAGGAGGAGAGCCTTTGCTCACCGTGGGAACCTTCAGATCCAGAGGTGTAAGTCTCAAACACGAGTATGCACAGAGTCTGACCACACTGTTCCCAACAGCAAAACTGTAGCCTTTGCTACATCCCAGGGCAGTCAGATTGAAACCTTGTCAGGCGGTGATAAGGACAAAGCTGCTCTTGTGTTAGAAGACTGAGACGGGGGTGGGGGTGGGGGTTCCTGGAAAGAGCCTCCTAGGCTGCAGTGAAAGTGGGTTTTCCCAGCTAGGAGTGAGGCGGAGCAAGGGTGGGAACTGGGAATGAGGGATAGCAGTGTGGGAGCGTGGTGGGAGGCCCTTCCCACTGCTTGATCCCTGGGGGAGTTACAGGGAAGACAGCAGACAGAGGAAGCCCTCCTGCCGTCCCTAACCCTGCAGCACCTTCTGGAATCCTGGAGTCCTGGTAGTTAAATGCTAGATTAGGCTGCTAACCAAAAGATCAGCTGCTCGAACCCACCAGCCCCTCTAAGGGAGAAAGATGTGGCAATTGGCTTCTGTAAAGATTTGTTGTTGTTGTTATATGCCATGGAGTCAGTTCTGATTCATATCGACCCTGTACAGGGTTTCCGAGGCTGTAAAACATTACGGGAACAGAAAGCCTCATCTTTTTCCCCTGGAACAGCTGGTAGTTTCAAACTGCTGACTTTGTGGTTCACAGCACGATTCGTAACCACTATGTTACCAGAGCTATCTGTAAAGATGTTGTTGTTGTTAAGTGCCATCGAGTCGGTTCCGACCCATAGCGACCCTGTACAGGGTTTCCGAGGGTGTAAATCTTTACGGGAGTAGAAAGCCTCATCTTTCTCCCGCGGAGCGGCTGGTAGTTTCGAACCGCTGACCTTAAGGTTCGCAGCCCGATTCGTAACCACTACGCTACCAGAGCTCCTTCATCTGTAAAGATAGTTGTTGTTAAGTAGATTGATGTTGAGTCCACTCATAGTGACCTTCTATAGGGGTCCCATGTGACTAAGGAAGAGAATCAGGAAGACCGTAGAAGAATTGATGCATATGAGTTATGGTGTTGGAGGAGAATTTGCAAGTACCCTGGTCTGCCAAAAGCACAAATAGATCTGTGTTGGAAGAAGTACAGCCAGAAAGCTCCTTGGAAGCCAGGATGGCCAGACTTCATCTTTCATACTTAGGACATATTATCAGGAGGGATCAGTCTCTGGAGAAGGATATCATGTTTGACAAAGTAGAGGGTCAAAGAAAAAGATAAAGACCCCCAATGAGATGGATTGGCACAGTAGCAGTAGCAGTGGACTCAAACATAGCAATGATTGTGAGCAGTGTTTCGTTCTGTTGTGCATAGGGTCACTATGAGTCGGTACCCACTCGATGGCACCTAACATAGTGTTTCTGAAGAGCTGCTGGTTGGTTTGAATTGCCGATCTTGTGGTTAGCAGTCCAGTGCTTATCCTACAGCGCTACACTAGGAGTCTTCTGTAAAGATGACAACCTTGGAAACATTATGGGGCAGTTCTACTCTGTCCTACTTTGTCCACTATGAATCCCACTCGACAGCTACAGGTTTGTAAAAAATGATTATGGGACTCACTCTGCGTTCAAAAGAGCCAACCTCCTGGGGATTCCCCTCTCCCCATGCTTTCCACTAGGCCAATGTTGGGGTTCAGCTGGGGTGAACAATACCAGGAAAGTGGGAGATGACAGGAAGCCAAAGGGGGAGATGGGGGGGATGAGGTCCTCCCAGAACTACAGGGGGCATGAGACTAACCAAGAAGGTGGAGGGTTAGCACCCAGACCACGGCTGTACAAGGGACTTAAAGTTCGTGGAAATCGAAAGATAATGGAATTTCCCATTCATTCGACTTCCGCCTTCTCCAGAAGGCAGACAGTAGCGGACCCCATAAAGGTAATACAGGAAGTAAGGTGTTCAGAGCTTGCAAGGATCCCAAGGATTGGCAAGTGTGCATGACAGTGAGGACGAATGGGGCAGCATTCTGCCAGCCTTGACCAGGAACCCACCATGAAGCCGGCAGGGCTATCCCAGGAAGACGCATCCCTCTCCACCCCCAGGCAAGGGCTTTCTGCACTGGCGGAGATTATTACCCTGGGGGGCTCGCCCCTTTCTTTTCTTCTCGCCTCTTCAGCGCCGACGTCTTCCCCGCGCCCCCACCCCTTACCCTGGGTCCGCTCCTTCCACCGCTGGGCCGAAGGGGAAATGCGGGAGCTTGGGTCCCGGCTCCAACTCTTCTCAAACGGCTCTGGGTAGCGGAGTTTACCCATTGCCTAGCAACCGTGGCTGGGCCCGGGACGCGGGGCGGGGCGGGGCGAAGGCGACCCGGAGCACGTGACGGTCCATCCCGCCGTAACGGAAATACAGTCTAGCGAGGTTAGAGAGTTCAGGAGTTAGGAGAAGATTAACCTACAAGTTAGTGAAATGCCGGTAATGGTCATAAATGCTTGTAGGGCGATTTGTCAAAGCGACTTCCCAACTTTGCAAACACACATTGGGCAAGATGCTAAGAAATACAGAGGCTGTGGACGTCTTGACCTCTGGTTGCTGAAGCCTGGCCCTGCTCCTTGGTTGTTATTTTAACGCTCCTTGCCTCATTTTCTTCATCCATAAATTTGGAATTATAAGCCCCAGCCTACGCGCCATATGCCTTGCACCTTGTCCGATTTCCTCACTGGGACTCGAACCTCCTTGAGAGTAGGGCCGGGAGTCCCCTGAACCCAGTATTGCCACAGCTTAGTTCAGGCTGGCACACTGTAAACACTTACTAAATGAAGGAATGGAGTCCTGGTGTAGGGCTGTGGATTAATGCGCTGGACCGCAGGTGGGTTTGAACTGCAAGGTCAGTGGTTTGAGTTCACCAGCTGCTCAGAGTGAATGGAATGGAATGAGTCGTGAAGATTGCAGAAATGCAAGTGTTTTCTTACTTACAAAATATACAAAAACCGAAACCCATGACGTGGAATGGATTCCAACTCATAGCGACCCTATATAGGATTTCTAAGACTAAATCTTTATGGGAATCGATAGCCTCATCTTTCTTCTGCAAAGTACTGGTGGGTTTGAGTGACCTCGCAATTAGCAGCCCAACCCCTAACACACAATCCACCAGGGTACAAAGAGAGGGGCTTCAAAAAGTTCACAGAAGGGGAAGTTCCATTATCTTTTTTCATTTAAATACTTTTAACTTTTTATTGTGAATTGAGTAAATGTTTACAGAACAGATCATTAGTTTTACATTCGGAAAATCATATATTTAATTTCATATCAGTGATTACAACCCCCAATTCCATTATCTGTATGTTTTCATTCCATTTTTCACAAATTCTTTGAAACCCACTTGTATTTGTCATAATTAAATATATATATTTATATAAAAAATAGAATGAGGTATGTTTTTCATGAGATTAAAGCTATTAAGTGAGATAATATAAACTAAAAGAAGGGGCTTTTGAGGGTAGAAAACATGGGTTTTAATCTCAGCCTGGCTGCTTCTTAATTACACAACTCAACTTTCCTCATCTGCAAGGTGGGGGGACAATGGTAGTTCTTGCAAGATAATTGGGAGGATTAACTTAGAGGACCCAGTCAAGTGCCCAGCCTATAGCTGAAGGCAGAGCCATACCTGAATAATAGTTGTTAATTTTAAGTGCCATAGAGTTGATTCCAACTCATAGCAACCCTGTATAGGAGCAGCTGGTGAGTGTGAACCTTCAGCCTTGCTGTTCAAACTGAACTTGAGGTCGAGTGCTTATCCTATGGCACCACACCAGGATGTCCCCTGAAAGACCACAGCTCTGCAATGACCACCATGGATGCTCGGACGGGCTCAGTTGTGTTCAAGGAGGGACGCTGGGGATTTGGACTGGGCCAGCATGGTGCAGTGAATGTTCGATAATGGCTCTTCTAGCCACAGTCTCTGTAACTCCAAACAAATGATTAGGTTCTTGTTAGGCGCTATGGAGTCAGTTCCAAGTCATAGCAACCTACATAGGTTTGAAGAAGTTGTCAATCTTTCCAGGAGCAGAAAAACCTCATCTTGGAGAGGCTGGTGGGTTTGAACTTCTGACTTTGTGGTTAGCAGTCCAGTGCTTATCTTACAGAATCATCAGTGCTATGCAATGCTTTGGGTTGTTGTTACGTGCCATTGCATTGGTTCCGACTCATAGAAACCTTGTACAGGGTTTCCTAGGCTACAGATCTTTGCAGGAACAGAAAGTCCCATCTTTCTCCCTTGAAGAGGCTGGTGGACTCTTAACCCAAAAGTTCAAGATCATCCAGAAGTGCCTCAGAAGAAATGTCTGACAGTCTCCTTCCAAATAATCAGCCATCAAAAAATGTTACCTGTTGATGAATTGGAAGGTTTAATATCAGTATAGATTCAACACAATACTGATTAAAATCTCAACTGCCTTCTTTACAAAAACAGAAAAACCAATCCACAACTTTATGGAGAGGTAAGGAGCTCTGGTAGCGTAGTGGTTACGAATCGGGCTGCGAACCTTAAGGTCAGCGGTTCGAAACTACCAGCCGCTCCGCGGGAGAAAGATGAGGCTTTCTACTCCCGTAAAGATTTACACCCTCGGAAACCCTGTACAGGGTCGCTATGGATCAGAACCGACTCAATGGCACTTAACAACAACAAGAGTTCCTGAGTAGCTAAAGCAATGTTGAAAGAGAAGAACAAAGTAGGAGGAGTTGCCCCTCCTGATTTTAAAGCATACTATTGTTGTTGTTGTTGTTGTGTGCTGTGGAGTCAGTTCCAACTCACAGAGACCCTGTACAGGGCTTCCGAGGCTGTAAATCTTTACGGGAGCAGAAAGTCTCATCTTTCTCCTGTGGAATAGCTGGTAATTTTGAACTGCCGACCCTGAGGTTAGCAGCCTGACTCGTAACCACTACAACTACAATACTCAAAACAGCCTGGTACTGTTGTAAGCACAGACCAATGAAATAGAATCAAGAGCCCAGAAGTAAACCCACACATCTATGGACAATTGTTTTGTTTTTGTTTTTTTAGCTTTTTTACTGTGAATTGAGTGCAGGTTTACAGAGTAGACTATCAGTTTTTCATTCAATAAATTATATACTTTGCTTCATTACAATGATCGCAATCCCCTCAATGTATCATCAGTATTGACCTCTAGTCACTTGAACTCTTGCATTCCTCCCTACCTTCCTCTTCTAATACCTTCATCTTTCCTCTGTTGTGTATTGCCTGCCCAGTCACCCATATTAACACGGGTGCACCTTGCTTGCTGAATGAAAGTGAAGAGGACTTCAAACATTTACTGATGAAGATCAAAGAGCACAGCCTTCTATATGGATTACATCTCAATGTCAAGAAAACAAAAATCCTCACCACTGGACCAATAAACAACATTCTTATCAGTGGAGAAAAGATTGAAGTTGTCAAGTACTTCATTCTTCTTGGATCAACTATCAACACTCACAGAAGCAGCAGTCAAGAAATCAAATGATGTATTGCATTAGGCAAATCTGCTGCACAAGGCCTTCTTAAAGTGTTGAAGAGCAAAGATGTCAGCTTGAGGACTAGGGTGTGCCTGACCCAAGCCATGGTATTTTCGATATCCTCATGTGCATGTGAAAGCTGGACAATAAATGAGGAAGACTAGAAGAATTGACATATTTGAGTTATGGTGTTGGAGGAGAATATTGAAAGTGCCATGGGCTAACAAAAGAGTCAACAGATCCATGTTGGAAGAAGTGCAGCCAGAGTGCTCCTTGGAGGCCAGGATGGCCAAAGTTTGTCTCTCATATTTCAGACATATTGTCAGGAGGGAGCAGTTGCTAGAGAAGGATATCATGTTTGGTAAGGTGGAGAGTTAGAGAAAAAGAGGAAGACTCCCAACTAGATGGATTGGCTAAGTGGCAGCATCGATGGACTCAGTTGTGGCAACAGAAATGAGGTTGGCCCATGATCGGGCAGTGTTTTGTTCTGCTGTGCATAGGGTCGCTATGAGTTGGTGCCAACTCGATGACACCTGACAATAACAACAACCATCTAACCTGTGAATAATTTTCCCTTCCTTCCCACCCCTGACAACCATCACTGAATGTTTCTTTTATCCAGAAAACCTTTTGCTGACTTTTTACAACAGTGGTCTTATGTCCTTTTGCAATGGGCTAATTTTGGTCAACTGATTGTTGACAAGGATTGTAATGGTTAGGGTTCTGTGTCAACTTGACTAGGTGAGGATTTTCAGAGGTTTAGCAGTTGGAAATGTGCTTATTCCCATGGGGATGAAACCTTATACAGGCATAGATAACTCTTATGATGGCTATGAGCAGCCAATCAATTAAAGGGATATTTCCTTAGGGGTGTGCCCTGCTCCCAATATAATGGACACATGGGGAAAGCTCTCATTCTTTCACTGGAGACCTGGGACTCTGCAACTGTAAGCTATTTCATCGATAATAAACTTCTTGCTCCATCTATCTATCTATCTATCTATCTATCTATCTATCTATCTATCTATATGATCTCTGGTACCGTAGTGGTTACCAGTAGGGCTGCTAACCACAAGATCAGCAGTTCAAAACTACCAGCTGTTCCACGGGAGAAAGATGAAGCTTTCTGTTCCTGTAAAGATTTACAGTCTCGGAAACCCTATACAGGATCGCTATGAGTCAGAACTAACCCCTTGGCACATAACCACCATCATTACCATACATACATACATACATACATACATACATACATACATACATGTAGATGTTTCACTGGTTTTGCTTCTCTAGAAAACCCAGCCTAAGACAAGGGTGCTAAGTCTATTTGGTGGGGACAGAAGAGTCTCTTCAATAGAGGGTGCTGGGAAATTAAACAGGATCCATCCCTCACACCACACACAAAAACAAATATAAAGTGAACCAAATACTGAAATATACAAAGGAAAAGCATCAAATTCTTGGAAGAAAAAATCACAGTCGTTGCTGTCAGGCCTAGTTTTTAAACAGTGGATTATCCCATATAATAACAAACACAAACCTCATAAAACTTTAAAACAAATGTCCTTTTTCTGCTCCATTACATTTAGTTGTGCCGTCTCCTTAGGTTCCTCTTGGCTGTGACAGTTTATCAGACTGGCCTTGTTTTTGATGACCTTGGCAGTTTTGAGGACTAGTTCCAAAGGTATTTACCATCAATAGGTCTCCGTGTAGGCTTCTGGACTGGAAAG